GTGGTTGTATCGTCCCAAAACATTCTTGGGAATATTCGATCCTCGGTCAGCTGATCAGATCAACTCGACTCATGACTGGTGAGCGTCAAATTTTCATCTGAGGGGTTATAAAGTTTCTCACATTTCTAGAATTATACTGTATTCTATTTCGCCTTTCTTGAATAACTGGCTGTTGTAATTATGGGCTTTTAGCTGTTCAATATTGGGCGGCGGCGCATTACTTCTTCACAATGTTAATCGATCCATGATAGAGCGATATGTGTGTGTAGCGCGGCAAGGCTCAAATTCTGTGCAGAGGATTGTGCATTTCAGGTAAGAACATGATGCACGGCATTTTTCTTTCTACAAAATGAAAAGTAAAACAAAACAGTGAATGAACATCTCTTCCACAGACTCGACTATTCAAGCTGGTATTCTCTGGACCTCTTTAACAGTGTCTTTTGGGGAGGTGTAGCGACGGCTGTACTTGCCTGTTCCTTCTCCTTCCTTCTGAACATCACATGGATTCTGACAAGGAAAAGTATCCTTTGGTGGATCCAACGGTATGTTTTTCTTTCATTATGTTCGTACCGTTTTGGCTGCGTTCATACTTAGCGTCAACGTTCTCAGGAACAGCCTGCGAAAAAGTTCAAAACTACCCGCGAAGTGCTCAAAACGCTGGCGTACGCTTGGATGCTAAATCGATATCTATACTTCCTTGGTCGCTGAAACCGCTGCTGCTCGTTCAAAACGTTGACGCGAAAGTATAAACGCCCCCTATTTGTTGTTTTCGTGACCCTTGCTTCTTATTACCATGAAAAAGTTTTATATTTTTGTTTTGGCCTTCAAATTCTACCGCGTCGGTCATGGACATTTTTGATGCAAGCTAGTATGGTGTTTCCCCTCATTGCCTCAGTTATGCTTTGATTCCTGATCGCTTTTCAGCATGCTGAAGCCTATCTGCTCGTTCGTAAAATGCGGTGGCAAAAGCTATGGAGAAGTACCGTGCACGGCAAATGGAAGGTTTGCAAGCAAAGTACACCCGAAGAATGCAGATGGTTCGCGAAAATTACCATGCGCAGGTATGTTCATCAGTCATTGTTGCAGTACTAGGTGTTCCGCTCCCCTATCTGAAGTGTTCATTTTAGGTGGAACAGCTGCGACTTTCGTACGCTTCACAAGCGGAGAAATTCCGTGACTATCGAGCTGCTCAAATGGAACATATGTCTTCTCATTTGGAGAACATGAGGGATAACTACAATCAACAAATGCAGCGTGTAAGGGAGTACGGATCACGACGAGCTGAGCAGTTGTGGGAGAGCTATGAACGCCAGGTTGTTTCATTTTCTAGTACCATCAATGTATAGGTTGGAAGGAAAGTCCTGTCAGTGTTTCCTTTAAAAGCTTACAGTTTTTGATTCTCGATGCTTGAACATGAGGTAATATGCCATGCTTGTAGAACATTCTGAGAGCTTTCCTGCAAGAGGTGTGTGAGGGCGCCTGCTCTTTCCTGGGTCTAATTACGATTTTAGTTTCACAGGAGCATCTTCGCGTCATCATCTTCTACCGGTGGCCCTGGCACTGGGGTCACGGCGGCTGTGTGCGACATCAACAGTGCATTGGCGGAGGACACCACTACCATCAGGACCGTTCACTTTTGGTTCGCTCACTTCGCGAAAGGAGATACGATCCTCAAAGAAAAACCTCGGTCGGGACGCCTCAACGAAGTGAAAGGCTCCACCGTTCTCGAAGCTGTCAAGGAGGATCCGGAGGCTACCACCCGCAGTCTTGCGACAAGACTCGGATGTACCTAACTGACAGTCGTCCACCGCCTGTAAGCCCTTGACTACCAAAAAGTACTGGCTCGATGGATCACCCATACCTTGACCGATGGCAGGCTGTGCACCTGGGTACCCCTTGGTGAGTCTCCCCTTCTCCGCCCTCGTCAGAAGGAGTTTTAAGGAGACTGCTCAGTGGAGATGAGAGATGGGTCCTCTGTGATTTCAACTCACACAGTACCGTGTGTCTCTCTCAAGGAGAAGACCCATCCTAGCAGTCCAAACCGGGCATGTATTCTGAGAGATTCTCTCTGTGCTGCTTCTGAAGGTGAGGGAATGCTGCACAACGAGCTGCCCTGTAAGAACACACGGTCACCGCTACCATTTGTGCCGCTCAGCTCCAGAAACCGTGGAAACTGTTGGAGAAAAATGACCGAGACTAGCTTCGGGGCACCTCTTTCGTAGTACGCGAGACCCCATACCTGCTATGGAGACCTACCAAATAATTGAGGAGCAAGGCTGGGAGACCAGTCCCCGCTTATCATATTCTCCTGACGTAGTCCCCTAAGACTGCTACCTGCTCCGCCTCCTTAGGGCTTTCTTAGCTAAGAAAACTTTCAGCAACTTTGATGACATCAGTCGAAAGGCCGCTGACTTACTCTACTCGC